TAATCTAACCATAATTAAATTAAGATCAATTTGATCATAATTTAAATATATAAAATATTTATATATGACCATAATAAAAACATTATTTAAACAACTACTCTCTCCGTTTAAAAATGTAAGGCATTTTTAATCAAATCGCATCCCCCAACAAAGTAATTACTTACTTTTAAACTAATCTTATCTTTTTATATTTATCCCTATTAAATAACATACAATAAATATGAAATCATTATCAATAGGGGCACTTTTAAAAAAAAGGCAATGATTATACCTCGAAAGATTAAAAATATCTTATATTTTTAAATATTTAACTCCTTAAAAAATACCTTACATTTTTTAATAGAGGGAGTAAGACATTATTTATAAGTAAATAAAATATTCATAAATAAATTACACATAATACAGCAAAATGGTAATAGAGTTATTTAAGTGCAAAGTTGATAAGTTATTATTTTTTATTTTATTATTTTAAATTTAAAATAATAGTTATGCTTAACATAATTATTTTAAAATAAAAATTGATTCCTAAAATAAAGAAAAATATTTTTAAAAAGTTTTGGGTATTCAGGCAAAACCGAAGCTTGAAGCTGTAGGGGTTAGGCTTAACTATATAGGCTTTTTAAAAATGATAGAATACGTTAAATTTGATTTGAATAAATCAGCCTGAATTGAGCCCGACTCAAATAAGCCCAATCCTCCTGAATTATTGGCTCTAAGTCTTAATGTTGCTTCATATTTCAAAAAACATATCCTACGTTGAAACTATGCAAGTTTTATTCTTGAGAGAATCAATCACAGTTGAATTTCAGACCATTAACTTACAATTGATTTTTGATAAAAAAAATTTCAAAATAAATTAAAAAATATTAATTCAAGTAGTTACAAATATGAGAGTTTAAATTATAAATAAATATTTTTATATTAAATATAGGTATTAAATTTTAAGAAGAATTTCTATTTTATAACTATTTAAATTAATACTTATAAATTATTTTTTATGACCCTAATTATTATTAATTTAATTTTTTAAAACTTAACTATCATTCGCCCTTTATCTTTTTAAATAATTAAACTCTATATATATAGTATTAAATAATAAAGGAGAGGTTCAACAACGGCTAGGACGAAGGATCATGCCACGCTAGCTAATGATAATGTATGATATGATTGCTTGTCAGTGAAGCAGAGGCTCACATGTCCGAAATCAGATTATTATAATGAGACAATATTGGGTACATACGTACATAGCGTGAAGGGATCGGATATCAAAAAGAAGCAAGTTCCAACAATCGTAATTCATATTCGTCGTATTATATATATACTGTATATCGAATAAAGAGACGACTCTTTCTTGCTTCATATTTCTTTAACTCTTTCTTTCTTTACAACTCAACGCTGTTTTTATATAAGAGACTGATACAAATAAATAGAAGCATATGAAGGTCATTTCATTTACTTATGCACATTTTAGTTCTGTTTATCTCCTTATAATGCTATGCATATAAATTGTTTACGGTTGGTTCTTTCTTAGAAGTATTTCCGGGGGAATTATAAGCACCTTAAAGAAAATTGTGGAGCAGAAATAAAACATATAAACTTTCAAATTAAACCGGTATATTATATTATTGCCCTTTTCTAACAATTAACATTTTAAGTTAGTTGTTAGATGAAAAATCACAAATGCAATTTAATACAACGGTTTGACTTAAAACATGTGATTTTCAATTTAATAAAACTGGTCAACCAAGTATTATGTAATTAAGCTTCAAAGAAAGGAAGGTTGCGTTGTGGTTGTATCTACCACTACTTTATATGATATATATATATATATATATATATTTATAGTTGGCGATAGAATAAAAATAGTTAAGTTGACGCTATATATATATATATATATTTATTTATTTATTTATTGATGAAGAATAAAATAACGTTTGGCCAGACTTTTTTTTGGCCGATCTGTCCACACTTGAACTAATAAGAAATTCATATACCACGAAAACAAGGCATATTAAACCCACAATAAATAATATTTATATACTGAAATTTTTTGAAAATGTTTGGTTATTGTAGTGTAAAAAATTAAATATGATAATAAAATTCGTATTTAGAGAGATGGATTATCCATATGTGCCTAAAATATAACATAAGATTCAACTCAACTGTAATTAACTTAAAATTATATTACAGAATTTGTCTTGAAAAAAGTTAAAAATCGTTATATATACATTATGGACGTAATGTCTATTACTCCTCATTATCATGCGTGGGACTTAGTTTGATGGAAAGGGGAAAAAATTGAAAATGAGGTGTTGTGTATATTGTTGTTAAACTCTTGAATTGACTCTCCAAATTTATCAATTTTATATTTTTAACCTATAAAATTATGTTAATTTACTCATAAACTCGAATTAAATATAAACTCAATTAACTTACAAGTTTATCATTTTGATATTTCTAACTTATAAAATTATGTTAGTTCACTTGTAAACTCAAAATATATGCAAAATTGATTAACCTTGCTAAACTTATTGATTTTTTGTCAAGTGTGTTAAGAATATAGTATAAAGAATTTGGTCATAAAAATGATAGGACCTGCTTAAAAGAAAAATAAAAGTCTAAAAGCAAAAACTAAAAATAAGTTATCCTATTTTAAAATTTTCACATTGAGTATAATAATTTATATTTAAAATATATTTAAATTAAATTATAATCAATTTTAATGGTTATTTATGAACAGAGCAAAACTCTTATAAATTTATGATTTAAATTTACAATTCAAATATACATTTTTATTATGAATTTGATTAATCTGATCTCATGAGTTTGACAGCCTTGGTTGTGAGTAATGTATAGTATGAATAGGACTTATAAGGTATTAAAATGATGAGACAGCGGAAATCAAATCAAACTCCTATGAAACCGTGTAATTTTGAAACTTTGACTGACTAGTTATATAGAACCATTTTGGCACGTCATTCTTTTACGGATCAAATAAAATATTCAGATAGTTTAATCGCTTGGAAGAATAAATTAAAACGTAAGTATGCGTAAGCTTCAAACTAGTATATGTTTTAAAAATAAGAAGCAAGAACATTTATTGGATATACGTTGAATTTATCCTCTCCGTAGTTTGTGAGCAATCGACGTGTGTGCGCACATGCTCGCTAGCTAGTGGTGTGAGGGATTTTAATATATATGTTGAGGCAATCACGTTCTAAAGTATAAAATTTTGAACTTAATCTGTATTTAATTATATGTTTTGACTGATCATTAAATTGGACTGAGTTATCAATTCATAAATTAAGGCCCTGTTTGTTTGGGAGGAGGGGAGGAGCTCCTCTTCCCTCCCCTCATTTGGTTAGGAGGAGGAGAGCCTCTCCCCTCCCCTCCTCTCCCGTCCCTTGGTTAGGAGGAGGGGAGGAAAAAATTTTAAAATTTCTCTCCACTTCCCTCCAAAGCCTCCCCTTTAAATTGGGGGACCTCCCTCCCCTCTCCTCCCCCTCCCTTCCCTCCCCTCTCTTCTCCTTCCCTCCCCTCAAACCAAACACGCCTTAAGGGTTTGATTGGGTCGAATCATGATTGCATAAAAATATAATATCTAAATAAAAATATTTATCTAAAGGAAAATAAAATCTATATGTAAATTATCTATAAATTTATTTTTTAATTATCTTATAATTATAAGAATAATATTTGAGATTTATTTGGAACTACTTCATTTTACATATACATAATTAACATTTTATAAGATTTTCTTTGCAATTAAATGGCATTTAATATATAATATTGATATGAATTTAATATTAAAATCTTTTGCATTTCTGAAGAAATAAATATATTTTAATCTCTTTCCAGTTCAGACTCTTGCCACGTGTATATTATAATAGTATAATAATATTAAAATGGGAGAATCATATCCAACAACCCCTCAAACAAATTAATCACAAACAATTAAGGATCAATATGGATCGTTATTAAAATAAGCATGTGAACTTATTTTTTCTAAAATAAAATTTATTATTAATCCTTATTTGTGATTAAGTTGCTTGAGTGGTGATTCTCCCTGTTAAAACTAATGAGTGAGAAATGCTTTATTTTAAGCGTAAACCCTACATTTCTTCCGTCCTTCGTCTTGTTCTCCTCTTTCCTCCTCTTCTACCATCGCTGTTAGTGTAGCTGGCGTAGCATATATGGATTTTCATCTCATCTGAAAGCTTCAAGTTGAATCAAGTAGTTTTGTGATCCAAAAAGCATGTTTAAGATCATGGTCGATTGCTGCAAATTAAATATATTCTTTTCTTCTTTTTCTCAAATCTCTTCCATTCTTCCCATCTTCTCTCTCGTATCTTTCAATTGTCCCCCTTTCGCTAGTTTTTTTGACCCTCTTAACTTGTCCAACCAGTTGGTTTTCCTGGTTTTTAACTAGTTGACTTGTTTTTGATCCGTTCACACAACTCGCGGTTCAGTGGTGTCAACTAGACTGGACCACTAGTTGGTTCCCAGTTCATCTAGTTCAACTGGCTGGTTCAATCTATTTTTAAAACCTTCTGCTAACACATTGATCATTTTGCAGACACTTGTTAACAAATCTGCTCTCAAATATAATCTTACTAATAATTATTAATTAGTTATTTTAATTTAACATATTCAGAGGAACTCCCACAATACAATGTCGGTCAATAAAATTTGGTAGAGCTAATCATTATTTTATTGTAATTTAACTCTTATACACATGTAATCAAGAAAAAGTAATGTCAAATTGTGTCGAAAACCAGAGTGGCATAGGGCATGAGATCACCTTCGAAATGGCCTGATGATCTGTATTTGAATATTTAATTAGTATTAATTATACAAAATTAATCTTCGACCACGTGATTATTAATGCCAATGTCAATCTTTGCCTCCAAAAAATTAACGAGTTGATACCGAAACAATTATTTAATTTCCCAAGAGATCGATCAGTATTAGTGGTGGTCTTCACTACGATATCCGTAGGATAAATTAAAATTGCTAATATAAAAAGTCTTTAACCTTCAAGAATACAATTGCAAGCAAGAAAAGCTCAAGATCATGGCTTCTCTATCCCCTTTGCTCCTCTCTAATCGTCCCTTCTTCAGATACAACGATCCCAAAGCCATCAAATCAACAAGATTTCCAAACTATGCATCTAGAGTGACATGCAAAGCCATGAAGGATGAGAACAAATTTGACCCTAAAACCCTGAATCCTAACCTTGCAAGAAGAAACCTCCTCATAGGGGTAGGAGGTCTTTATGGTGCTACACTTCACCATAAGGACCCATTTTCCCTTGCCGCCCCGATCTCGCCACCAGACCTTACAGCATGCGGCCCGCCGGACCTCCCGTCCGGTGCTAAACCGACCAATTGCTGCCCTCCACTCTCCTCAAACATCATAGACTTCACTCCTCCACCAAACACTACCTTGAGAACCCGACCAGCTGCTCATTTAGTAGATTCTACGTACGTAGAAAACTACAAAGAAGCTGTCCGTCGCATGAAAGCTCTTCCACCGGACGATCCTCGGAGCTTCACTCAGCAAGCCAACATTCATTGCGCTTACTGTGACGGTTCTTATCACCAAGTAGGGTTTCCTGATCTGGACCTGCAAGTCCATAATTCTTGGCTCTTCTTTCCCTTCCATCGCTGGTACCTTTATTTCTACGAGAGAATATTGGCCAGCTTGATCAAAGATCGTGACCCAAATTTTGCTATGCCCTTTTGGAACTGGGACGTACCGGAGGGCATGCCGATTCCGAACATATATTCGGATTCTAAGTCGCCACTTTATGACGCTCTCAGAAACGCTAATCATCAGACGCCTAAACCTGTGGATCTTAATTTCAACGGCGTCGAAGACCAGGTATGAGTGTTTGTCTTACGGTGATTTTAAAATATAGTAATTGTTACTTGGTCCAACTTGGACAGACACGAAATCCAGTTATCTATTTTAAATAAACTTTAACGTGAATGTGTGTGTTTTATCATTTTTAAAAGACAGGTACTGAGTTGTAAAAAAATATGCATATATTACTATTAAAACTATATGTTTGTCAATTTATTATTTAAAATATGACAAAAATATGAAAATTGTACCATATATCAATTACATGTTGGGAGTGTCTTATAGCTAATTTGTGAGAAACAAAAAATTGAGTTTAAATTCCTAAAGTTGAAATATGTAAATTTCTGTGAAGTGTTCTTTTTTTTTAATATTTTTCTTTATTTTATAATTTTTTATCAAATATAAATTCTTCCATTTTTCTTTAAAAGATACATTTCACAGAAATTTATAAATCTCAACTTTAGAAAATTTAAATAATTTTATTCTTGAAATACTGAGACCTGTTATTAATATACTTTTTAAAGATGTAAAATAGTTCTTTTATTTCTAGTTTTAAAAGATAATAAAATGACATGAATTATTAAAAGCTACATGAAGTCAAATTATTCTTGCTCGACTTGTGTACAGTTCTCATCTTGCTCTGCACCCATTGATTATTATTAATATTATTGATATTTGGAATAAGATTTTTTAGCCAATGGATCTAAAAAATGAGATGTCATTTTATTAACCTGGAATTTCTATTATTATTACTAATTTAAAGATTAACGAGTTGACCTTAATTAAGAGTGTAGTCAATTTTAATATATAGCTCCAATGGCAAAGATAGATTCCACAGCGCTTTCGTCGAATGGTAGTTCATTACTGCTCTGTATATTGTGAAGCCCCTCTGCATTTATGACAGAAAACCTAATAAAATATTAGAATAATACAACAATAACAACAAGCCTTTATCCCACTAAGTGGGGTCGGCTATATGTATTGCAAGACGTCATTGTACTCTATTATTTATCAAGCTTTTAGAAATATTATTAATTAACAGAAATTAATAATATAATGATAAATTATTTTTCTAAAACAGAAATTAACATAGATATTATAAAATTTAAAAATAACTAACTAATAATTACTTTTTTATTATTGTAACCAAATATAAAATAATATCTACTTTTTATAAAAATCTTTATAAAATAAAAATTACTTATTTAATTAAACAAACGGCCCAATATATATACTGGTATTAATTGTTATCTGTTGATATTTAAATAGTTATTTAATTTTTATTAAAATATATAATTTAATTATAAGTCTTTGTTCTGTACTTCTGTTTGATTTTAAATTCTAGACTATAATTTATCACTTTTACATTGTCGTTGATAACTAAATTTATATTTAAAGTATTGCATCGTTAGCAAGCCAGCTTAACTCAAGCAGCAAATATAACATGGTAACAATATGTATCGTCCCAGGTCCTTCTTGTCTTGGTGCTGAAACAAGCATCGATTTTGTGTGTGTGTGTGTGTGTGTGTGTGTGTGTGTGTGTAAACAAATACAAAGCTATGAACTTTTTATTCTCTTGCGTACAGAAAATACGTCAATATATTTTTATTTTTACACAGACAAGTTCGGACGAACAAGTGGCCGCAAATCTCAACATAATGTACAGACAAATGGTGTCCGGTTCGAGGACTCCTTCCCTGTTCTTCGGACAATCTTACCGCGCCGGAGATGAGAGCGATCCCGGAGGCGGCTCAGTAGAGAGCGTCCCTCACGGCCCGGTTCACGTCTGGACCGGCGATAACACCCAACCGAACTTCGAGGACATGGGAAGCTTCTATTCCGCTGGAAGAGACCCCATCTTCTATTCGCACCATTCCAACATGGATCGAATGTGGGAGATCTGGAAGACTCTGGGAGGAAGAAGACAGGACCTCACAGATCCAGATTGGTTGGAATCCGGCTTCTTATTCTACGACGAGAACAAGAACCTCGTACGCGTCAAAATCAAGGACTGTTTAGACACCAGAAAGCTAGGCTACGTGTACCAGGACGTGAACATCCCCTGGTTACAAGCCAGGCCTACACCTAGCAGAAGTAGGGTTTTGAGATCACTGAAGAAAACATTGGGTGTGGGTGCGGCTCATGCGGCTAATGGTGGGGGCGATGTGAAGTTCCCTCTGGTTCTAGAAACGAGCGTGAGCAAAGTTGTGAAGAGAGAGAAGAAGGGAAGGAGCAGGAAGGAGAAGGAAGAGGAGGAGGAGGTGTTAGTGATTGAAGGGATTGAGTTCGAGAGGGACGTGGCAGTGAAGTTTGACGTGTATGTGAACGATGAAGACGAAGATGGTGGCGGGCACTGTGGGCCCAGGAAGACTGAGTTTGCTGGGAGCTTTGTGAGTGTGCCACATAAGCACAAGCACAGTAAGAAGGGGACGAAGAAGATGAAGACGAATCTAAGGATTGGGATCACAGAGTTGCTAGAGGATTTGGGTGCTGATGAAGACGAGAACGTGGTTGTCACTCTCGTGCCTCAGTTTGGAAAGGGCCATGTCACCATTGGAGGTATCAGGATTGAGCACCACTAGCGTGGGGGATATTTTATGTCGATTTTTCTGCTTTCATTATTTTAGCATTATTAATTTCTTAAATGTGACTATCATTATTGACGTGGCAATCATATGGGGTGTTATTAAAGGAAATACTTTTAGTTTAATTTTTGAACCCTTTCCTCATGGATATTTAGTAGTATTTCGTAATTATGATTATTTATATTAATTAGTCGTAATTGCTATTAACATCAAAGCTTCAGCGTTGTTTTGCTCTCCCAAACTCAATCCCTTCAATCACCAACACCTACTCCTCTTCTTATTTCTCCTTCCATATGACTGCCACGTATATACATGGTACTTGGATTATAAAATATAGTTTTTTGCTTGCAATATTTTCCATAAAAAACGTAGGTGCTAGCTGGTAAATATTTAATTGGGGAGAAGATCAACGTGTGCAGTTTTAAAAAGAGCATAGTTGCATCTAAACCACTAGGCCACTTATATTATATATATCATTGACCTAACCTTTCCTTGTAAAGAAAAAAAAAATCAATACAAGTTGATGATAGAGGAAGTGGATCGGCGTAATAATTTGATAAGCTTGATAGAGAAGTGGGCATGTGAGAGAGAGTTTGAGAGGCTAGGGAGGGTAACAATACCATCAATAATAAGCTTCAATTAAGAGGCACCACCACAGTGAGAGAGAGAAAGAGGTCATGTAAGGCACACCACAGTGAGAGAGAAAGAGGACATGTGAAAGTGCATGAGAGAGAGGGGGGGGAGAGAAATACCACTAATAATAAGCTTCAATCTGCTCTGTGGATCTTCTTTGATCAGCATCAGCCTGGCCTTGAAGATAAATTCAGAATATGAAGTAGCTCATCTTCTCATCCTTCCCCGTGTGGAAACATTAGAGAACCTTTGTGGCTTTCAACTGATACAGACGGAGAAAGATTCCATGTTCTGATCAGAGTCATGCGGAGAAATTTTGCTAAGTAATTGATGGTAAATGAGCAAGGCTGGTCAACATTTATAGATAACTTTTCAACCAAATTTTATGTTCAATGAAGCTGTATTTTTTTTGACCACTTTAATTTGTAGTACACCAGGGTACTATATGCAGTACAGAGTAAACTAGAGTACGTACTACCCATTTTTTGTACTCAAATAAACGTACCTAGCTATAATGTCCTTTTTCTGATGTCAATTTCTGTAAGGTCGAAGAATTGTATAATCAAATTTTAAATAATTAAAGATATTTTTAATATTAAAATATTTCAATATTACGCTAAATCCTTTTTAACAGTCATTAATTAATTACTAATATTTTATTAACCATAATTAATTAATTATGTCGCCCTTGCATGTCAGTCCCCCGACGGCAAGGGATCGAGGATCTGGATCCATAACGGATGTGATAATCCTCTCTTTAGTATTTATTTGTAAGAACTCTAAATATATATATAATCCTACTAGACGAGGAAATATAATCGATATCAAGCAAAGGGATAAATCATAATCATAATTATAAATAAATCCTACACCTATTTATATGACAGAAACAACAAATTAAATTAACAAAGTTAAGATACAGGAAAGTCATTGCAATTTATTAATCTAAATCATAATTATGAATTAATTAATCTCCTTTCAAAAACTACAACTCCAACCATCGTCATGAAAAATGGCTTGAGAAAAAGGAAATTTTATCCGTGATGGGTGCGCATATATTGCTGCAACGACCTCACCAACTTCGAGTTTAATTACTACATATAATATATAGTGTTTATGTTATATTATATATATATATATATATATTTTATATTAAAGATATAGTGTTTATTTTCAACGAGTCTGTAATCCGTATACTAGAGTGATTAATTAAGGCTCGCAATATAAATAACATCGATCATGCGTTGATGGGGCTGCTTTCTATTTCACGAGCTAGTTCTCTGGTTAGCTTGTCTGCTCGATCATCTTGCCCACCCGCAAACGTGTAAACCCTAAATACGAATTGAAAAGCCCTCCATAGCAATTTTGCATTCCCATTATTTTTACACTTCGATCCTGCAGATTCCTCGCGCCTCTCCTGCATCATCAATCCCATATATATATATATATATATATAAACACACACAATCAAATTGCAAGTTTTAATTAAAGGGCAAGATTATGATAAAAATTTGGTGAATATTTATAAATACACACACCTTTAGCACTAGCTCCATGCAGCTGGAGGAAACATCCACCATTGCTTCCTTGATTTTTATGAGAATGGTGAAGTCGAATTCGATGTTATGACTCTTAAATTTCTTGCACTCTTCTTCTTTGGTTCGCTCCAAAGCGTCCACTTCTGTCTTTATCTGCATGTTATAGCATCACTAATGTTATGTATTGTTATATTTAGTTAATTATTTAGCTGTAAATTTGTAGATATTTATGTTGAATGAATCACCTTGTTGAAATAACGTTCGACCTTGTCCAGAAACTGACCCGAGGGAAGCACTACGTTCCAACTTTGAAGCTCTGAAACTATTGAATTTAACTTACTGTATAGCGCGGCAGCCGTTCTTATAGTTTCCAACTTCTTCGTTGGGAAACCTTCAAATCGTGACAATACCTGCACGTATACGGCAATTGAAATTTCATTTAATATAATTCTCATAATTAGTCATTAATTGAAATTGGATTGTATCAAGTTTTTTACATATTGACCTGTGATTCATCGATGAGATTCTCAAGAACAGATTCAATAACTTTGTGGAAACTGACCAACTTTGTCATATCATTTGTCTTGAAATTAGATATTGAAGATGTCAGCTCTGTGATTTGTTTTGCGTACTTCTGAACATCTTCTTCTATTTGTTGGAAGTAAGATGATCTAAAGATAAGAAGAGTAAACAGGTTAGATATTTCCTTGACAAGGTCTGTCAAAAGCTATTTTAACTCCTGAAAGTCTAAAAGCAGAGATGATCAACTATATATATATATATATTATTATGTATACCTTCTGGTCATCTCTGCAATAGCTTGGGCCATGCCTTGTTTTCCTCCAGCGGCGGCGCTTTGTCCAATTCCACTCCGTCTGTCACCACATGATTTGACATTCAAGCTCGAGCCTTCCACTTTTCCCTTGAGAGTTCGATACAGATTGCCAATGTGAGACGACCTTTTCAACTTAGTAGTCGTTTTGGGACGAAGGCACCTACCTGCACCGCCTGGAGGTGGCGGCGGAGGAGCACCTCCATTTCTCGGCGTCACCATCGGTGGAGGTGCTGGAACTCCACCCCCTGGTGGAAGCATGGGTGGTGGCGCCGGCGGAGCTAAACCTGGCCGTCGAGGAAGTGGAGGCGGAGGAGGTGGCCGAAGATTATTGGTTGTTGCTGCATTTGGCTGCAAGTTAGGTGCCGATGATGGAGGAAGAGGAGGAGGCGGCAGCTGCGGCATGGGTGGGGGACCTACGACCACTGCATTCTGCAGCAACTGTGGCGGTGATGGTGGAGGAGGCGGAGGAGTCGGCGGCGGCGGCAGAGAGGAAGGGGAGTGGCGAATTGGAAGTAATGGTGTTTCTGCTGGAGGTTCATCTGACTTCGTATGGTCATTGTGAGTATCTGACACTGATGATTCGTCCACTGAGTCCATAGGAAAAACGAGATCCTCTAAATTGTCCTTTTCAGATTTACCATCCACCTCCATATTCTTATGATTCTCGTCATTGAGTTCACGTTGTGGCATGTGGAAGGACAAGCGCTTGATGTCAAGAGGATTCAACTTTCCCACAGCTTGAAGTCTGAGAGACCAGAGAAGTGGCGAGGAAGATGATGAAGCCGATGAAGTTCTCGGCGGGCTTTCTCCATCATTGATCTTCTGACTATTATTACGGCTGTACTTAGAATAAGAATACTTGATCTCTTGTGGAAGAACCGAAGTCGGCGTGATCGGAGGAGAGCTGCAAGAATAGATGCTATCAGTAAACGATGAACTGTATCTCAACTCTTTCTTTTGCTCATCGTCCTCCATCATCTCAAAATTCTCACTCGCCATTTTCATCAAATGATTCAGTATGGCCATTAAAGCTTCACCTGCAATTAATTTAAGCGTGTGTTAACGTAGAAAAAGTTTTATAAAGAATAGAGTTAGGCTGGAAAAGTTTACACACACACACACACACCTAGCTGCTGCATGTTGGTGCCGTCTTCATTACATGAAGGCAACTCAAAATTGAACTTGTTTATAGACTCATTGTTCACCGTCCATGACTCTCCAAGAGACTTCAAAGCCTTGCAGAAGTAGGCTAGAGCCTGTGGAAAAACAATCATGTCGCCATTTCGGTACTAATAAATAATTCTGATATGATTTTAATTCAAAGAAGAAAAATATTCTAGACGACATAAATGAAACCTCATCTATAAACTTGTCTTTGATCTCTGACACTTCATTAGCTGGTATCACCTCTGGGTAAAGCCTTTGCAGATTCTCCAGTGTTTTAATTACCAGCTGCATCATGTGGCATATAAATGTAAAATGAACTCTGTGAACAAGACAAGAACAAGGGGGAAAACATAAAAAGACTATATATATATATATATATATATATATAAAATATACACACCACACGTAATGAAGCAGAGGTATCACAAGTAGGGAGGTCCAGGATGTCCCTGAAGGCCAAGATCTTCTTATGGAGGTCCATCATTAAAACCAATTGGTCTGTACTCGCAACTGAACTCTTCATTGACTCTTCTCTTCTCTTTTTCTTAACTTTCGATGGCTTCATATTCTTGGGCATGCTTTGGCCTTTCATTGCCTGCACATGAAATTACACACACACGCACACACACACACACAATCTGATGTAAATATATATATCGTGCTGTGTTCATTTCTTCATTGAAATTACTATCAGAGGTTTTTATAAAGCTAATTTTATTACTCAAAGTAAGAAACAAATTTCTGACAAGACATACTAACAGTTCCAGTTTTGCAGGAAACTGAAAGCTTGAAATTGATGGACACCATGTTATGGAAAATAACAATAACGACACACATGTGTGAGAGCAATAATGAAGTATCAGAAATAATTCCAGTTTTTCCAAATTCTGAAAATTTGATCTGAATTAGGGTTCAAAGAATAAAGATGAATATCTCTATTAATTTGTCATGTTATGTTACGTTTTGAAAGGCTGATCAGGTCTAAATTGATGAGAAAGAATTGTTACTGGGTCATAGAGATAAGGATAGAGAAAAGTAACGATCGAGGAAAAGTCAGAATCTTACCTCAAAAGCAAATGTCTTGCTGCGCCGATGGAACAATGGCTTCAAGCCACAAAAACCCATGGTAGCCATGAATCCTAAAGATTTATATTTATTTGACTAAACCAAAAATAAAAAATAAAAAATAAAGAAGATTATGAAGAAGAACAAGTTGGAGTTGCAGACCACTATGTTCACAAAACGCGTGTGATCATTCTGGAATGTTGAATTTGAAGAGATCGAAACCCCCTTCAAAACAAAAAAAATGAATGGGTAAAATAATTAATTATTGACAATAGACATCTTCAAAGATTCTTGTGTGGAACAAGGAAGTTCAAGAAACATTGGTGAATTGAAATATGTATATATATATATATATATATTATATATCAAGACGCTACACCACGTATTAATGGTGGTGAGGTTGAATTGGAAAGTGGAGAATATATATATTTGGGAAGGGAACTTTCAGAAGGAGAGAAAGCCAAGGAGAAAGAAAGGAAGAGGAGAGGATTATAAGGTTAACTAGTGGGTTAAGAGAGATTAGTTATAGTTTCGTTAATTCTGTTTAGTGTTCATCAAGAGGTTAATGTGCTAATTAATTAAACAGATTTTTTTTTTTTATGATATGGTGATGAATGTTCTAAATTTAAGAAAAATTGTGTTTTCAGTTTCAACAAATTATTGTTCTCAGTTTGGTATGTGATTGATCTCTTACCTAACCTAACTATTTTACTTTTGTTTCCTAATTTTCATGCCTTAATTATTAATTGTTCTCAGAATTGCTAATGAATTGACTAATTAACAACGGCTACGCTTTTTTTTATTAGTTTTTTGTTTCATTTTCTTTTTGATATAGCGAAGTCAATATGCGACTTGGGAAAGCACTACTTGTTTGTTATCACAGCACATAAAATTGTGTGACAATAACAATAATAATAATAATAATAATAATAATAATAATAATAATAATTGATGCAACTTCTTCTGCTATTAATTAAAAGCGGCCGAAGAAGTAAATCTAATAATTGGATGTCCATAACTTCTTATTGGAAATCAGTTGTTGGACACTAGAATTTGTATTGAACTTCATTTTCAAAGGAACAAACGTGGGCTCATATGTCAAAAAGTATAATTATGCAATCAGTGTTTATCACAAATGATGAGTCAGATTATTCATGGCTCATTAAAAACATACTAGTTTTTAGAGATTTTATATAATATATAATTATATAAATATTAGAAAAACACTAATAGTGATTAAATCAAGTGTAAAAGAAACCTAATTCCTTTTAAACTAAAGTGAGAATCTAAATTTTATCATGCATTGAGAAAAAACCATGTTAAATAGAGTTATCGTTTGTTAGACCTAGCAATACTTAAATTTAATTGGATACTACAAAATATTTGTATCATTATAATTAACTAGTGGTCAAATCTATTCTTATATTTAAAAGAAACCTAAGTTGTTTGGTTGCAAGAGTTCTACTAAAATCCATGGGAATGGAATGGGATCGGCCGATTGCAAAATCTGTTTGGTTGCAAGATTAATGTCTCTTTGCCAATGCTTAATCTTAACTCTGCTGTGTTATAGTCGATCATAAGTCTAGATAAAGAATGAGTTTTATTACATCTCAACACCTAATGTAAAACTAAATCGATTGGCAATTCTCAATCTACAAAAGTGCAAGGAATGAGCATTCCCACGTGGCAATCGAACACAGATTCAAATGTTGGTGACAGGATGCTGCTCGCATCCAAGTGCTTCACAAACCATCCAAAATGTTCGCCATTTTCTCTCTCCTATTAGTTATTTTCCCATTCACAACTTCAAACTATAATAAAAATATTCTATCCCTTCAAAAATATAAAGCGTTTTTAATCGAACTTACCTCCCAATAGATATTTGTCTTCAAATTAATAGTTATTTTTTTGTAAGAATAAAATAATTATTTATTTTTAAACTAATCTTATTTTTTTATATTTACTTTTATTTAATAAGGTGTCTCACCTTAAAATAAATATAAAGTAATTTATTTAACGAGAACACTTTTAGAGAAAGAGCAATAATCATAATTTAAAAGATCAAAAAAGCTTTACATTTTTAAACATCAAACCCTTCACAAAATGTCTCATACATTTGAATTGAGAGAGTATAATTTTCTATTTTACTGATTTACTTATTCGACCACGTTATTGGTTACGTACCTTGAACAAAAGCCATCAATGGATTATAGTATTTGACATTATATTGTTCACAACACGGGAGCTATAATACTACTCATAAGCTGTAAATAATAAGCTGACTCCAGACAAATGTACAAGACCTATACTCTAGTTTAACATACCTACATACATACATACATACATAGATATGCCCGGTTTATTTGTCATTTGCATAAAAAAAAAATACCATGGGGCATTCATTTTGCAGGTATTTGCACAGAAAAAATAAAAATATACAAGGTTTGATACAGAGAACAATGAAATTGCAGAAGCTTGAGGTTTAACAATGTTGGTATACATGATCTATTTCACAGCATAACCTTTATTGTTCTATGATAATGCACAAGAATAAATAAAACTATAATAATTTAAATTGTCCTTGTACCCTAAGCAAATTAAGCCTCTCGGGTGTAAGGTGCACTTTTCAGTATAGAACATCCTCTGATATAAATAACTATCAATGATAAAGGCAAATTCTACAGTATGAGGATCACAGCAATTATTTTACTGTAAAACTTTTGTAGACTTTGGAGAGAGAGGAAGTGAAAGTATATGAGATTTACTTTTTAAACTTTCCTCTCTCTCGTCTCTCTAAACTATGCAAAAGTTTTATAATAAAAACCTCCAGATGGTCCTGGCTCTTTAAAACAAACGAAGCCTGTGCTAATTTTTTGCCTGTCATCAATAGTCAACCAACAAAGGGCATCTTACTCTCTAAAATGCACCCCAAAATTAGGCTCCTAGTTCATATTGACACAGATGACATGATGACACAGTAGATTTAATGGTATCAAGTACTAATAATTTAGCTAAACTGCTCTGACTTTGACAGAACTTATCTTGGTCATCTCCTTCATGGGCTGAGTCTTATTCTTGTCACTTCTGGAGGATACTCTTGCCATTTTATTTTCAACTTGGTCTTTCTTTGATGTTGCTCGAGCAAGACCACTGGCTGCAGTTCTCTCTGCGATTCTCCTCTGGCGTTCAACCAACAGTTCTTCCATCCTCTTCCGAATTTCTTCTTCCTGATCACCACCATAGAATAAAGACCAATCAATATGAACCAAAAAATGGTGTCAGCTAGTAAAATATCAAGAAGAAAAATGCAACTGCAGATTAAACTCTACCTTTTCCAGTTTGCTCTTGTGAACAATGGGCCTGCTGATGGTTGATGGCTTGTTGTTCCTAGAAATAATTTCAGGCTTGCCCTTTCCAAAGGATCCACGCAAAGGTTTTGTTTTTTCTTCTTTTACTGAATTTCTTGTTCCTGGAACTTTGCTTTTCTCAATTTTCTTAGGACTGACGGGAAGATTTTTGCTCGCTTCACTGTGTAAATTATCAACAGAGGATCTTCTATCAGTTTCTGTGTATGAAAAGTCGATTTCATAGTCCAATGCCCATGAGGCCTCAACAGGGTCTAATCCAGAATCCCGTTGGAGAACTACACAAAGGTCACTGGGTTCCTGGTTCTTCGATAACTCATGTTTATTTTGTGAAACAGGTGTGTCATTTTCCAGCTTGCTAGCTGAATTTAGATCTGCAAGTATGTTAATGTCAGTCTTCCACTGGGAATCAGGTAGATCATCATCAACCAATTGACCCTGTATCATGAATGAATCATCAACTGGAGTGCTTACACTTCTTTTTTCAGCATAGGAATCCACTGAAGATAAAATGCAATCACCATCAAACACTGCAGGAAAAGTTGCAGTTTTGGGGCTCCTTGTGTTTTCTGAATGATCAACAATAAACCAATCTTCAGCATTTTTGAACTTGTTTACTGAAGAATTAGAAACACAAGTAGATAATGAATAACCAAGGTCGTTTCCAGAATCTTCAGACCTATGTGAAAGCATCATCTCCTCACCCATGCTATTCCGACTTCTTCTAAGCAGAGTACCGTAGTCTACATAATCATCACACTTAGCTCCACCTTCATTTCCTCCATCTCTCTGAGTTACAATAAAGGAGTCATTTGAGACATTCTTCTGCATTGGAACCTTTTTGAATTCCGAGTCGTGAGACGGATCAGCAACAAATGATATTCTCTCTACAGAATTTCTTACCACAAATTGGTCGCCCTGAACATCAATTGGCTGCAGCCTTTCTGCTGCATCATTGCCAGTATCCTCATCTATCTTCAAAAGATTCTGGAAAGCAGCCCAGTTCTCATTTGTCTTCCCTCCCTCAGATGCATCGTTGATATTTTCACCTAGCTCTAGCTCAGAGACACCATTTGATTGGGCCACTCCTTTTTTCTTATTACCATGTTTGTCAGCCTTATGAACCTTTTGCAATGATTCAAGGGCAAAATTGATCTTCTGTTTAATATTTTCTCCATCAATGACATCATCATCTATAGGTGATTCATCAGAGGCTTTACCATCATTTCCATTTTTCTTATTTGGAGTGATGTAATTGATATTGCGAATTACAACAGTTCCAGATCTTCTTCTGTGCTTTTTCTTCTTTGAATCATCCTTCACGGAATGCTTTGAGTCTAGCTCCTCGTCTGAGTTTGATTCACTTCTGGAATCCGGGTCACTGGATTCCGTCTGCTGGTCTTCTAAATCTTCCGATTCTTGCTTGTAAAGAGATTTCTCCTTTCTACTTGCAGAAGATTTCTTCTTCTGAGAATTAGACTGCCTAGGTAGATTACCACTAGAATTTTCCAGGTTGGAAGGCCAATGCATATTTCTTAGAAGGTATGGAGGAACAGACTGCATGTTAGTCAAAGGGTATCCTGGATATGGAGGCACTTGCTGAATAGGACTTTGAAAATTGTACATGAATGGAGGCACATTGTGTGGCCACGACATTGGCATCTGAACATTTGCAGGATGTGATGGTATCTGATCTGAAGGAGGCAACTTGTCATCTGCATATTGCATCCATCAGACAAATTAAGGTTTCTTCAAAATTGTGAGAACAAATAACCACTGTGTGGCTGCTGGAAATAAACACTGATCTCCATAATTCACTACAAGTTGGTTGCATTCCATTACACAAAATTAAGGTTTGTACAAATGTCTGACTTTCTAAAAATGTTTTGATGTTTTGATTTAGGCTGCATATCCAATGCCAAGCAGCATCATGGGCATTCAATCTTTTTCTGCACCGTGAAAGATTGAATAAGAGGGCAAGTAGACAACAAGGAATGCATCATGAAGACATAATGAAAAAGTGCCCAAACTTCTATTCACTCTCTTTTCTTGCCAAACTT